AAGCTGACTCAGTTTCCCCAGGCTGACCCTCCTTCCCCTTGCTGGGGTTTTCCCCGAGTGGAGAGCCATTTACCCATCCTTCACCCTTTGCTTTGGGGGTTCCCAGGCCAATGCACCCCACGAGTCCAGTAAGGAACCTCTCATCTCTGAACAGGGACCCTTGTGATCCCCACCCATGACCCTTCCCAGCACCCTTAGAGCAGTTCTATGCTGCAGAGGGCCCTGGGACTCGGTAGGTGAGAAGCAGATATCAGCACTGGGGGCCGCATGTCCAGCTGCCTCTGGGCTAGCAGAAACCAGGTCTCTAGATAGACAGGAAGGAAGTTGGGGCCTGCAGGTGACCTACTTTCTCTTTTGCCTTTTCTGACAAGTGGAAAATATTGGGGTAGCAGGCAGGCCCCAAGCTGTGCACCCCCATATAGTGACATTGTCACTCCCATCCGTCCTGGAGGCTTACTATCCTTTTTTTGGGGGGGCGGGGTTCAAGACAGGGTTTCTCTGTGTAGCTTTGATGCCTTTTCTGGAACTCACTCTGTAGCCCAGGCTGGCCTTGAACTCACAGAAATCCTCCTGCCTCTGCCTTCCGCATGCTGGGATTAAAGGCGTGCCACCGCCCGGCTTACTATTCTTTAGTGTAACCCATGTTCAAAGCATCATGGGTGTCCACGGAGAAAGGGGTGAAAGCAGGTAGCCTGGAGCCAGGGGGGATCCGACTGCGTGGGAATGTCTGTCTGATTTGAGGGGCACAGGGCTGTGGGTGCCAAGAGGCTAGAGGGAGAACTGGGGGTGGGGATTACAGAGGCAGCCTCAGCTCAGGACAGTAGTAGCTCTTATTCTACCTGATAGCAGTCCCCACCCTACCCCCCATCCCTCCCAGTTCCCAGCATGTCTACACATCCTCCAGGAATCTACAGCCCAGATAGCTACCCTGAACCCAGAGTGGCCATGGTGCCAGGCACGGGAGCCTGGAATGGGTCCACGCAGGTCTTGAGCAGCCAGGGGAGGAGGGTCTAACAGCATACCTAGGTATGGCCATCACCTGTACTTCCTCTTAAGGCGCTTCCCACAGGCTCATGAGGTCTTGGCAGCCATCATCTTTATGATGATGATCACAGCGGTAGGGAAACAAGGTGTAAACAGCCAAAGGATGCTCCCGATGGGGAATTAACTCCCCATACAACTGGGTCCCACACAGCTTGTACATTGGTATTTGAAGGGACCACCCTCTGCTCACTTCCAAGGATGCTGGCTGCTATAAGAGCCCTGACCCTAGAGCCCATGACCCTAGGTCATGGTCGGACACGCACCCAGCAGGCACAAGAGGTTGGCCACGCCCACAACCTCATGAAGCTTGCCTTCCTCCTGGACTACCTAGATTTTGATTGAAGTCGACATTCTTTTAAAAGAATGAAACTATTTTTAAACTTCATTATCAGAGCCAAAAACAAAATATCACAACATGGCTGCTAGTGAGACATACAGCTTGGACGCTGAAACCTACTATACAAACCTGCTTCGCACAGCTCTCTGGGAGGTGGGGGAGTGGGGCACCCATGGGAGGGAAGATTCTGGCTGAATTATAATAGAACATCCAGCACCAGGCATTGCACCTGGGACTCTGCTTCTCAGACCACCCCAAGCCCCTGAAGTACTTTATAGACCATCTTGCCTTGTGTTGGCTAATTCTTTGGCTGGAGTTGTTTTAGAAGACGGAACCTCGATTTAGAAAATGCCTCCACTAGACTGGCCTGTGGTACATTATTGTGATTGATAACTGCTGTGGTAAGCCCATCCCATGGGGGTGATGTTATCCCTGGGCCTGTAAGCAGCATTCCTCCACGGCCTCTGCATCAGATCCTGCCCTGACTTCTCTGGATGATGGACAATAACTGGAAACTGAAAGGAATCTCTTTCCTCCCCAGGTCCCTTTTGGTCCTGGTTGTAGTATCACAGCAATAGAAATCTAACTTGAGGCCCACCCACAGCTGAGACCGCATACAGCTACAAGTTGGCTGCAGCCCCGGGGCCACCCAGGACTTGGGCATCACGCATCCAAAGTGACGGTGCTCAAATCCCACCTCCAGCATTCTGAGTCCCTCAGCTCCTCGTTATCTCACCTTGCGTGTGTGTGGGGGTGGGGGGGGGGTGAATAGCCTTCCACCATCTGACCTGGCTTCCCTAGGCCCTGGAGACTGGGTGTTTCAGGGAAATGGAAAACCCATGCCCCTGGCTAAGGGACACCAGGCTTCCTGGGTGAAGAAGGGAACCCTTGGGGTAACCCCAGGGCTACGGCATGACTCAGCCTCTCACTGGGTGGTGTTGGCCTCCAGGCTGGATCTCAAGGCATGCTTCCTCTCTGATGTTGTGCAGTGTGACCTCCTGGGAGCTGTGGCTCCTGGGACGATTCAGCTGTGAGTCTCTTTGGACCATGTAGCTTCAGCAAGGGGCCCTTGATCCTAGATCCAACCAGAGTCGTAACTTGACATAAGGGTGAACCACAGCTTTGCTTTCCCGGGGCCAGGGAGGCAGAGGCTCCTGACAAGCCAGCCTCAACCCAATCCCCTCTGCTGCCCCTAGCATTGTGTCCCGTGATGTCCATATGGAACTCTCCTAGGGGGTTCAGGGTATGTTGATCAAGGGAGTGACCCCATCCTTAAAACAGAGTGACTCTCAACCAGGGCCCAATTTCCATCCCCAGAACTTCCAGCGAAACCTGAAGGACAAGGGTAGCAAGACACTCTTGGGGCCCACACCAGGAGAGAGTACAGCCCAATACCTCCCGTGCATGGCCCTCCAAAGTCTTGACTATGGACCTGCTCCAGAGAACCCATGAAGTGGTCCAGCTGCACCTGTGGCTGGAAGAGTTGGGTCTGGTCAGCGGAAGGCAGCTAGCTAGCTGCCTGTGTCAGCACAGTCCAGCCTAGCCACAGACCAGGGGACCAGGGAAAAGAGGCCAAGACAGAGGACTCCAGCAAGGCATGAACAGGTCTCACAACGCCAGCTTCAGGAACAAGGAAATGTGGGGCCCCCAGGCAAGTGTAGGAAGCTGTCTCCATGGAAGAGCTCTGTGTCAAGATGATGAGGACAGATGTGACAACACCCCCAAAGACACAGATGACACCAGAGCCCATCTGGAGCATCAGGTCCATCCACAGCTCTTCCGTACACATACACAGTGCAGGCGGAGAGAGGCCACAGGACTCATGGGAGGAAACCTAAAGGTCATGACCCTAAGTTCAAGGTCATAAGTTCATAGAAAACCTCAAGGTCACAACAGAAATCATCAAGGTCACAACTCAGGAAGAAATACCCAGACCTCATACAGCATAGGGGGAAAGGTCACAGAAGGAAATGCCAAGGTCATGGGCCTAGGAAAGAATGTTCAAGGTCACAGAGCTAAAAGAAACATCAAGGCCACAAGAGGAAACTTCACGGTCAGAGGAAGAACCCTGAAGGCCAGGGGTCAGGAGGAAGGCTCAAGGTCAAAAAGAATGCCCAAGGTCACAGAATCATAGGAGGAAGGTTCAAAGTCACAGAAAGAAGTATCAAGGTCATGGGCACAGAAGAAATCCCACGGTCATGACACAAAGCTCAAGGTTACAGGACAGACCACTCGAGGTCACAGTTCTGGAGAAACCCTCAAGGTCACAAGAGACCTCAAGGTCATGGAACCATCAAGATCACTGGTGAAACATCAAACTAACAGATGAAAGCTTAGTCACTAGGTGCACAAGAAGAAAGTTAAGGTCACAGGAGGAAATTCCAAGGTCAGTTATCAAGGTCATGAGAACTATCAAGGGAACCGGATGGAACAAGTTCACAGCAGGAAAACTGAAAGCTGAGGGACCCAATAAGCTCTGATGCTCAGCCCCCATACAGGTGGGGCCTGGGGAGGGGCAAGCATCGGCAGAAATGCTCCAACAGGGCCAACATGCCGCAAAGTCTGTGGAGCACCCAGCAGGCCATTCACCCACTAAGGCAGCTCACTTGTGGGGGGATGGGGGGAGACCCAGGGCCATTATCTATGGGATTGAGAGGGCACCATGAAACAGGCCCACAGGCCAGTCCTCAGGGCTCCCAAGCCTCCCAGCCCGGGGAATTTCCCATGAGCACCAGGCTTCTGGCTCCCCTGACTTAAGGGGTATAATGCTGAACCAAGTGGCTTCGCACAGAGCAACCTAGAGTGCTAAGGCCTGGCGTGTGGCACGGCCCTCAAGCCTCTGAGCCATGCTGTTCGCCTGGAGTATCCGACCAAAGCACACTAAGGGTGAGCTGCTAGACTCCTAGACACTTCTCACGCGAATGCACGACAGCCCGTGGGCCACGGGGACCTCTGATGGCGACTGAGTCACAAGGCCACAGGCCACAGACTGCCCACGTTGACCCATCCACTGGCTGATGTTCACCAGCATCTGGCTCTGTCTGTAGAGGGTGTCGTCCTCACGATTGCAGGCAGCACAGTCCCCTCTGGTCTGTTCCCATTCCATTCAGGAGCCGGGGGCAGACAGCCTGTCATTTCTCCAGGTCTGAGCCTCCGATCCCCAAGTTTTCACGCCCCCAAATCAACCACATGACAGGTCAGAGTGGGGGGATGGAGCGACTCCGGGAAGCAACTAGAAAAACAGGACCACAGAATGCCTCTGATGTGCATGAAGTTTGTTGATTTTTTTTTCTCCTTTTAGTTCAAAATAAAAAATATATATATAGCAGGCTCTCAGGTATATAAACTGATAATATTAAAAATACAAAGTTCACCTTTACAAAAACAAAACAAAACATGGAAACCACGCACACACAATTCTGTTTAACAGTGAAGCCCAATGGCTTACCCCCAAATAATCTCAGCCACATCTCTGCACTGCCGTGGAAGCCATTTTAGCAATGGGGGGCGGGGGAAGCCCCCAAGTGAATGACTCCCACATAGTCCTCTCATGTGACTTAAGCTAGAAGTTAACGCTAAAGGGGCCGAGGAACACAGGAAGCCAGAGGCGCATCAGAAATGATGTATAGGTAGGTATACCATGTTTATTTTAATACACCTCATTAGTTTGGCTAGGAAAAAATAACCGTCTCGCTGTCCCAACTTACAGCAGCCTCGTGCGTGTTATCGACGAAAATGTCATCCAAGAGATGTAAAAAAAAAAAAAAAAAGAAAAAAGAAAAAGAAAAAGGAAAAAGAAAAAAGCTAGGCAGAGAATAAAAAGAAAAAGCTTAATCACTTTATGGTGTAAAAAAAAAAAGGAAAAGAGAAAAAAAAAAGAAAAGGAAAAAGAAATTCCACGTAAGGCCGTCTGGAAGGTCTTAGGCAGACTCAAGCGAGGTGGTGGCTTCCAGGCCCATGGGCATCTCCCAGCTGTCAGCTTCCTTCCCTCGTGGACCCAGCGGGCAGCATCCCAGGCAGGCTCCGGGCGTCCTCGGTGAAAAGCACCTGTGCCCACGGGCAGAATCCAGGGCAGTGGCCACCATGGGCCCCCACTCAAGGGTCAGTCCTGCAGGACGGCCCTCCTGCCGCCCACCCACCTCAGTCTTTGTTTCTTGTGGTGGGTTTTTATGTTGTTGTTGGGATTTTTTTTTGTTGTTTTGTTTTTAATTTTTTTTTTTTGATTTTTTTTTTGTTTTTTGTTTTTTTTGGGGTTTTTTTGTTTTTTTTTTTGTGGTTTTGTTTTCGCTCTCTGTGACAAGGAAGCTTTCTCACTGTCTCTCCGAGTGCTACAGTACTTGCTTTGATGTCACACTGAACAAACAGACACTGTCTCTTTGTCCTCGGACACAGTTTTTCACGGAGGAGAACAAAGACCGCACGCACATTGGCAATGAAGCACCATACATAGTATGTTCAGGAATGTCACACGCCACGTACATCCGTGTCCCGGGAGAGGGCGGCCGGCTCATCTCACCTCACGTCTGTGGGAAGAGAGGAAGAGTTGAGGGTCCCACCAGAGACAGAAAACACCAGAGTCACTTGGCCCCACACAACTTACGTCTTAAGATAGGAGCTTGATGTGTCATTTAAAAAAAAAAAGTAAATTTTCCACAGTTAAGAGTTGGGACTAGGCTGGTTGCATTTCTCAGAAGAACCCATGCTCCCATTGCACAGATGGAGAAACTAAGGCATAGAAAGTTTCTTTTGTCCTTTCCCTTATCTTTCTTTCTTCCAGCCTAAGGCTTGTGCTCGAAGGAGGTATGGCAGACATTTTGGGCCATGAAGTAACTAGGAAAATAGATGCTGCCAGCCACACTGTATGGGTCTCTGTGACTCAGCAGACCTATGTTTTGTGCGTGCGTGCATGCGTGCGTGCGTGTGTCTGTTTTGTGGTGCTGTTTTGTGGTTTGTGTGGACAAACACTAGCTATCACGAGGCTCCGTAACGAGCCAACGATGCCTCCACTCACAGCCCGGAGACCGGTGGCCAACAGGATACAGGCAGGCATGGGAACACCTGCCCCTCACTTGGAGAGGGTCTCTGTCAGCAGCCCGCCCATCAGAGCCACATGGAACAACCCCAAGGGCCTGCTCGAGGAGACACATGCCCAAAGCAGGCATCCCCGGCCACACTCCTGTTGGGAGCCAGGTCTCTCAGACACCCTATCTCTGAGGACTCTCTTGCCCAGAATAACTGTTTGTCTTGGATGCCCCGAAGTCCTATGTGCCAGGAGGAAGGGCTCAGCCAGACAGGCTCCAGCTCTCTGGGCCAGACAAGCTGACACTCAGGACGGGCCTGGGAAATGACATGCCTCACCTACATTCCCTACACTTCCGGGGAAAAACAGCCGTCACAGGGTGGGTTTGGAACAAGCATTCCTGAGAGGCTCTCCGGCCCTTCTTTACCCAACCTGACTCTTCCAGTGCGGAATTACGAGAGTGCTAGCAACCACCGTGGGTCCTGAGAGTCATTCTGAAGACAGAATCTACAGCAGCAAACAGAAGGGACACCAATGACATCTGCTCTGGCTTCCCCTCCTCGTCTTACACAGATTGACATCAACCTTCTTTCCCCATGCTGCTGTTGGTTACGAAAGTCAGCTGCCCTGTCCATGGAAAGCTCTTCAGCTCCACAAGCCTCACCTGTCACCTGTCAAAGCCTCTCCCCAGGTAACTCCAGCAGAACCACCAGAGGCCCCCCCACCCCCACCCTTCCCGCCACAGGGCACTAGGGTGCCTGATCAATAATCAAGAGAAGGGCAAAAGCTGTAGCTGCGAGGAGACCCAGCCCAGCAGCCCCAGAAGCACACAGAGCCTTGAGCCAATCAGGGCCCACGGGAAGCTGATTCGCTGGTGTGATTGTGTGTCCCAGCCCTGCGAGGGAGTCCCCCAGCGCACCCGGCGGGCGGGCAGGGCCTACCTGGTCGGCCGCCTTAGATGGGTTTTAACCTTTTTCTTTTCCGCTTTTTACCTGATTCCCTACGCCTTCCTGTCAAGGAAAGGGCAGGGAAGGTGAGTGGCCTCCTGAGGGCCTGGGGTGGGAAGCCACAGCAATAAATACTAGAGGTGTTTATCTTTCAGAAAGAAAGCCCGATCCACCCTGGTGCATCGACACTTCCGGGTCTTTCTCTGCACCTGGACTGCCTGAACGCTGGCAATGTACCGGTACGCTGAGCAGGATGAAGGTCAAGACCCGGGGCAGCAGGGCACAGTCTGAATCCAGTGTCTAACGTCCCACTGTGGCACCCTGCAGGCACAGCTTACCTGACTCTAGCTCTGCAGGCCAGTGTGGACAGCTGGGAAATCAGGCCTGCTGCTTCACTCAGAGGAAGCACCTTTCCCATCACTCTGTGACATCCCTCAGGACCCACACACGAAAAGCTAACAGACAGCGCTGGCCACTCACCCGTCTCCTCCTCCCGATGCTCTGGGTTCAGGTTGGAGGTCGCACATGCACACTCCAGGTGTTCCTCTAACCTCACCTGGACCTCTTTCAATTTTGGCTTCTTCCTGACATACTCCACTTTGGCCACCTGCCAAGGGAACAAAGCCAGCGTCAACGCCATGTGCCCGAGGGGGACCTGCCTGGCTCACCCCAAACTGGGACTCAGACTTCTAACCTCCCCAAGGCATCTTCCCTTTAGCTCAAGCCTGTTTCCCTTCGAAATAAACCGTAAATGAGGCTAGGCTTACAGCTGCCATCCCAGCACTCGGGAGCTCAGACGTTCAAGGTCAGCCTGGGCTACACAGCAAGGATGTAGCTCAGTTAGCGGAGCGCTTGCCTAGCATCCACAAAGTCCTGAGCTCCAGCCCGAGCACCATATAAACAGAATAGATGTGGTGGCACAAGCCTGTAATCCCAGGACTCAGGACATGGAGGCAGGAGGATCAAGAACTTAAGGCCATCTTTGGTGACATAGTGTGCTGCAACTTGGACTACGTGAGACTCCTAAGTGCCCAAAAGATCCAAAGGACACCAGCAAAGAAAGGGTGAACTGGGCACAGGATGGTGGACCACACAGTACGGCTCTGGCGTTTGTGGTGTTAGTGAAGAAAACGGAGCCTCGGACAGGGACAGCAGTTTGGCTACAAAGCTTGCTGAGGAAGGGGCCTCACTCAGGGAGTCTTTTCCCTCTCAACCCAGGGTCCCTGGAGACACATCAACACAGCAGATACCAAAAGTTCATACTGGACTCTAGAATCCCAGGTAAATCCTTCCACGGTCCTGGCCAGACGCTGACCACTCCAGCCTGCCATTCTCAGGGCTGTCAGCTCCACACACACACAGACACACATGTGAGTGGTGTATGCAGGCCCCACACTCCCCCAACAGGACCACACAGCAGTTGCTTACCCCCCCCCCCCCCGTCCCCATCAAGAACTGCACCAGGAGGCAGCCTCGGGTTACACCCTGCTCTATTCCAGCAGGGTCTATGGGGGACTTCAAGGCCACCTTCCTCAGGTTCCAGACACCAGCATTCATTAACCCTCCTGGCCAGCCAGCGCAGAGGCAGGATTGTCACCTCCATGGATAGAAAAGAAAACCCAGGCACAGTAAGCCCTCTCCTGAGGTGACCTGGAGAGCATGGCTGGCAGCTTGTCCCAACCTCGATGCCACCTAGAACATGTGTCACCCTCCCAAGCCTGCATGCAATCAGCACCAAATCGGTGTCCACCTCCCAGAACAGCCCTAAGGGATCTTTGCCTCCCATCTCACTATACACTGGGGAAACTGAGGCTATAATGGTGCTGCACCCACCCAGGTGGCCTACAGCACCTACAGGTGGCAGCTCCTTGGGCGTCCAATGGTGGGGACAATGCTTGGCCCGCCCAGAGTGACTGAGAGTTTGGGGAGAGGACCGTTCTCCGCTGCTCTTCCAAGGGTATTGAAGCTCAGGAGCCAAGAGGACCCAAGCAGGTGTCAGCCCTGCATCCAGTCCAAGCAGCTGCTTCAGAGCACTGGGGACCAGACTCGGCCAGACTCTGCTATGGCTACCACCTTGGCTACATTAATGGTTAACGTGGGTGCAAAGGGTGCCAGGTGCCCGGCGGGCGTATGAAGTAGTGTGGGTGCCTCAGGTGTGAACACCGTCTGCCAAGTATGAGCTCAGCGTGTAGGGCGTAGGGCCAGGGGTCAGGGGTCAAGGGCCAGCCCAGGAGGTTTCGCTACGTCAGGAGGTGGGAGGAGCCGCAAGAGAAGGAGCAGCAACCAGGGGCAGTGAGGGCTGGGGCATCTGAGGTGCAGTCCGGTTACGCTCTCCAGATACCTCCAATCGGACCTGTGAGATGGGGGCCGTGGTCACACCCACCCAGGTGGCTCGAGCAAGGTCACCTCTACAGAGGCACTCAGAAGTCCAGTGGGTATGGGGGAGCAGGCCTGGAATCCCACTCAGTAGGCTGAGGCAGGAGGATTGCTTCAAGTCCAGCCTGAGCTACATACTGAGTTCCAGGCCAGCCTGGCTACAGAGCAAGACAATGCATCAAAAAACAAAAAAAAAAAAAAACAAAACAAATAAACAAGCAAAACACACAACATTAAAGAATCACCCAGACATGGGGCAGGGCCACCCTACAGGAGCTAACTTCAACAGGAGTCCCTATTCATGGAAAGCTTCTTACTAAAAGGAGCCCCCAAGCTCTGTTCAGGAAGTCAGCATGTCCCCAGGGGTACTGCAACCCCCAGTCCCTAAGCTCAGAAGTGTGGTCTCACACTCCACCCCAGGCAATGCAAGGGCAACCCCTTGTCCCTCCCTTAAAGAGCCCTGGGCAGGTCAGGGAGGAGGGAGTTCTCCCAAATGAAAAACACCAGCCAGTCCCCAGGGGAGCTGGAGGCAGAGGTACTGTAATGGACCCCTACCACAGTCCCCAACCTCCAAAAGGGTCCACAGTCCTTGGTGATCCCACAAACTTCAAGACTGCCCGGCTAAACCCAGGCCTGAGGGAGACCCTGGCCACAGACCCCAGCAGGTGGGCGCTCTGCCCCTCCCACCACCGCCTCTACGGTAGGGACCAGGTAAGCTTCACAAGGCCCTGAACCCAGGTGTCGTCAGAAGGGCATTTGACCTGGCCTTAGTTACAGCTCTCCACCCTGACCCACCCAGACCCTGGCTGCAGGGCAGGTACCCCTCTGAGCCTAGGGGTCCCCTGCATGAGGGGCAACTGATGAGCTGCTCCAGCTAGGGAGCCCCCTTTCTCCCAGACAGGCCCATGTTTACCAGACAAAAACAAACAGTGGTTTATGGGAGCACCTGCCTCGGGAATGCAAGGATTCCAGCCGGCTCTGCTACCTCGGTCTGGCCAGGAAATGGCTACATTTTTCCCGCCCAAAGAACATGTTACGAATACTAAATTTTCAAAACTGCCTCCGCGAAAACGAGATGGTAAAAAAAAAAAAAATCCCAGGCGCCCCACCTGCTCCACAAGCAACCCACAGCTCCCTCAAGTTCAACCCAGAGTGTCACCCCGCCAGACTGCTCCCAAGCAAGCCTCGGGACAGTGTCGGCTATGATCAAAAGCCACTGCTGATTTTGAGTTGAACACAGAGCACAGTCCCTCCTGCAGGTCAGCTGCACGGACACCATTACAGCCTGACTTCATAGACGAGAAACTGAGCCAAGCGACGACCCGCCCAGGCCCCTCGGCAGTCAATTCTGCTTTCTAATAGCCTGGACTTCAAAGGAGCGGGGAGGCCCTGATGCCACACAGCCCTAGAGACCAGGGGCCTTCGCAGGCCAGTCCTCTCACTTGACCAAGAGGGTGCTGTGCTCTAGCTACCCAAGTGTTCCTCGGGCTGAGGAGGGGAGCTGGCGCCAGGCCTCAAAGGCAGGAGGACCTCTGCCCCACCTGGCCAAGGGCCCCACACACAGCGGCTGAAAGGAAGAGACCCCAGATATATAGACATCAAGCACACCTGGGGTGTCTTCTGCCATGCTGCCCCAGCCTCCTCAGACCCCAAAGCCCCTCACGAGAGGGGGAACCGTGAGACTTATTCCTTCAGAGCTAAAGCCAGCCTGGCCACCTTCTCTGAAATCTTCGATGGAGCCCAGCTGGGATTTTCCCTAGAACATAGCTCCAGACCCCACCCAACTGAGACGGGGACACCTTCCTTCTAGAAGCCTGGAGTCCAACCCAGCAGAGCCCTGAGCACGAGACTGAGTAATGAACCTCCCTACACAGCTCAGCAGCCAGGTCAAACAATGGCTCGGAGCTGGCCTGACCCTTTGGCAGTCCCAAGCCCAAACCCTTAGCAGCCCTGTGCGACGTAGACAGGAGAGGCCTCACCTCTGTCCAGCCAAACACCACAGGTAGCTCCAGGAGCCCGGCCCATGCTCCACTGTGCAGGCCCACAGAGCATCCTTCTCCAGCCTCCACAGCAGGGTCTGGAGAACACAGCTGGCACTTGGGGCCAGGCAGCACATGCTGAGGTGAGGGCCCAGGCTGCTCAGATGTCATCGCAGCCAGCACTTGGGAGGCTGGACTAGGAGTTCAAGGCCTGCCTAGCCTACAGAGTAAGTTCAAAGCCAGCCTGAGTAACTTAGACCCTGTCTCACAACAAAAACTACAGAAAGCTGGGGGTGTGGCTCAGTGGTAGAGCACCTGCCTAGAATCCCCCAGTGAGGGGCTGGGGT